CTCATTGTTGTAAAATGTATGACTAATATATATATATACCTTTTTTTTTTTTCTTTTAGAGACATGTTAAAAGTTAAAAATTTTATTGTTAAAACTTTCAAATTTAAGTTTTAATGTAAGTGAAGAGAGGATTGGAAAGATGGGTGATGTTATTCTTACACATTCAATTATTAATATCACACATTTTTATGTTAATTAATTATTAATCTTTTAATTTATTAAAAAATAAAAAATATAGAATTATTTAGAAAAAAATATAATATAAGAGTATAATAGGTAATTATATTAAAGAAATGTAATATTAACTATTTAATATATGACAATAATCCAATCCTAAAAAAATAAATAACTATTTTCTCCCTACTAATGTATAATTTACTATACTATAATATCACCCACTATTATTATGATTTAATTGTTATAACTCCTTTAAAAAATATAATAATATTTAAAAGTTTAAGATTTAAAAGTTTGCAATTACAATCCCTATCTTTTAACTGTGCTAGTTAATAAAAAAAATATATTATGCCTTAATATAAAATCCAAGGCTACACAAGCCAGCGGTCATTGGTGCAGTGATGTCTTCCAAGACCCCGAGAGCGAGAAACCATACATTGCCAGTTACGTAATTTTGAGAAAGTCGAAGTCCTCTTTATACTACCGGCCAACATAAATGCACCTAACTCAACTCTAGTGCGTTGAGTTTTCCCTCCCTCCCTCCTCACACCTTTCTTGGACCCTCAAAATCTATGGAGAAAAGAGCGGGAAAGTGAGGCAAAGTGAGGGAAAGTGAAGGAAAATTTTAGTGAGCAAAGGAAAATAGAGGGAAAATTGCATAGAACTTTTTTGAGATATTAAGAGAAAGAAACGGTAGATTGAGGGGAAAAAAAAGGAGAGAAATGAAGCACATTTTCAAGAAGCTACACAAAGGTCATAATCACGAGCCTAATCGGACCAACGAGACGCCGCCGCCGTCTCCGTCATGCGCCATCGATCATCAACGTACCATGTCTGGAAACTCTCCAACGAGTCCCTCCACATTATCGCCTGCTCCGCCTGCTGTTCGGACGAGCTCCGGGAATACTACAGCAGCGTCGACTGTGTTGGCAAATAATAGTACCGATTACATGTCGTCGTCGGAGGAGTTCCAGGTTCAGTTAGCTCTAGCGATCAGCGCGTCGAATTCGGAGGATCCCGAGAAGGATCAGATCCGCGCGGCGACTCTGCTGAGCTTGGGCGGCCATCATCAGATGGATACAGGCGAGGATAGGGAGGAGGTGCCCGCAGAGGATTTATCGAGACATTATTGGGTGAGTGTTCGTCAACTTTCTCCTTACCCATTTTGAGGTCGAATTGGATTCAAGTTGGAATGGGTTTTGTAGTGTTGGTGCTGGTGGATTGTACTGAATGAGCTTGCTTAAATTAGGGGCTTTTGGTCTGTGCCTATAAGCGATTTTGAATTTCTGGGAATTAGAGCAAGTTACCACGGAATTGTGTAAGTATGGCCCATTCAGAGATTTTTTTTTTTTTTTGGTGAAGAAAACTGTAACCTTGAGTATTCTAGCATCTTGCTTTTTTTTTGTGAGTTAATCTAGTGGAGAGAGCATGAGTTGGAGCATAGGGCTCTGATTTAAAGAAGTGATTACATGGGTTATGGTACTTAATCCTAGCTGTTCTGATATCTGGTAGTGATCCATTTTTGGATGATGGCAATTAATGTTTTGGAACACTTAATGCTGAAGCATTAATTTTAATTGGATTCAATAGCATTGAATGTGCATGAATTAGGTTTGGATTGCTGATTAGTGTTGCCAGTTGCTGCTGGTTGGTTTTGGATTGCTAGGGTTAGTGCAATTTACTCTCATAGTAGGTAAAAATGATGAATTGCAGCATCATGGAGTCTTTCACGCTATGAAATTGTAGTGGATAAGTTTGAACTATGGATTAGTAATTGTGTTTTGGTGGTTAAAGCTTGGAGTTTGGTTCTTAACAACTCAAATGTATTTTGTATCTAGTTTTAGATTATATATTGCTGGCCAACAAATTTTATTGCTACCATTTTGGACTTGCATAATTTGTAGTTAAGAAAACCATGATCATCTTAATTATTTGAGTCCTGCATTTTCAATTTTAGCAGCTGAGTTGGAATGGTTACTTTTCTTGATTACATACATTGAATTCTTGATCCTTGCTTAATTTAGGGAAGGAGTATCTCCTGTGTACTGTTCTTTTGTTTTCTACTTCGTGAGGCTTTATTCAATCAGGTAAGTAGTTGATTTTATGATAGAAATGTGATTTAAAATCTGAAAATTTTGTTTATGTGGTTTAGGTATTGTTGAAGTGATAATATTGACTAAAAAGGCAGTCGCTGCCAAATTGAGTTCCCTTAAAACAATTTAACATGTAGAAAATTTTTCTATTTAAGAATGCAATCAAATATCTGATTTTTTTGCCAGTTTAAAATATATATTCTCCATGCCGGAATGTCTTTCGGGTATATTGAGATTTGAAAGTTTCTTGTACACTGTTACTTCATATTAATGCTTGACTGTAATTTGTTTGGACATATTGCTATGCTGTACTGTTTCTGTAGTTATTCTATTTGGCTTGACTTCTGTTAGGTGTTTTAATGCACCAGGAGTACAGTGTGCTTGATCACGAAGAGAAAGTGGTTGATGGTTTCTATGATGTGTATGGGCCTTCCACAAATTCAGCACTCCAAGGAAAAATGTCATCTCTTGCAGATCTTGAGACAAATCTTGGGAATTATGGCTTTGAAGTTGTGATTGTCAATTGAACAATTGACCCTGTCTTAGAAGATCTGGTGCAAATTGCACATTGTATTGCATTAGATTGCCTGCTAGTAATGTTAGTGTTTTAGTCCAAAAGCTTGCCGAATTTGTTACAGGCCATATGGGTGTACCTGTTAAGGATGCTAATATAATGTTGGCAAGGTGGATGGAAAGGAGCACGGAATTGAGAACATCTCTTCATACAAGTTTGTTGCCTATTGGGTCCATTAATATAGGATTATCTCGGCATCGTGCTTTACTTTTCAAGGTTAGTTATTTAGTTTTTTGTTGGCTTTCGAGGTTGATGCACCAAATACGCACTACTTTTAGGCAAGTGAACCTAATTGATTATGCAGTATAAGATGAGTAAGATATCGTTCCCTCGAAGACTATCCTACAGTACCAAAACACTATTAATCTAACCTAAGTTGAATTAACCAATTAATAGGGAGAAATAAACTATTTAAAAGAAAACTAAGTAAACTAAAGAAAATTAAACTAAAGAATTTTCTAAATTAAAGAAACTATGAATGAGAAAGAACTATGATTTGGATTTCATTTAATTCTGAATTATGCAACTGTTTCATTAATTTAATTCAAGTTCAAATAATAGTGTTATTGCATGAGATGACGGATTTCCCTAAATTAATTAATCAGCTTTCTCAAGTCAAGCTAATCCTTCATTTGTTTGCTAAATTAATCATATCTCTATATAATTTTAAACAAACTAATGAGCATTAAATTCTATAGAAACCTCTAGCTTAAGAATGGGGAGCTACTAACTCTGTTTTCTTCCTCCACTACCACATGTGAGCTAATTACCTGTCTCATAGTCTAGCACACGGTTTATATTATTATTGATCTAATTTACACAATTCTTTCTCAAGTTCATGCATAAATCACTAAATCAATTGAAAGGTGATCAAGCTCTCAATGCATTAAATTCAATAATATAAACTCATCATGCAAATAACCAATAAATCTTGAATTAAAGTAACAAAAACAGTCGCATACTTCAAAAATTAAAATCCACCCATCCCTAGTTCAAAGGAATCTAGCCACACATGTTTATGTTCTCAACAGCCATGAAAAATAAATCCCAACAGAAAATCATAGTAAAAAGTTCAGAAACAACAAAACCCAAACTACGAAGAATTGCAATTGGCCGAATGGTGTTCTGTGGTCGGGAAGCAAGGCTGGGCGGTGAAGAAGCAAGGCTGGGCAGTGAAGAAGCAAGGCTGGGCGGCAGCGTGGTTCTTCTGCAAACGGATTTGGGTCTTGCGTTCTCAACTCGCAGAGCAGATTTGTGCGGTTGTCCTTCTCCTTCTGTGCAGAACAGTTTCGTGCGGCTCTGTGTGTTGGTGTCCTCTTCTGCTGCTGGTGAACAACAGAAGCAAGGCTGGGATGTGGACGGCTGGGTTGTGGGCGGCTGGGTGCTGTTGCGCAGAACAACTCTCTTGCGTCTGTCTCTCTGTGTGGCTGTGTCTCTTCTGTTTCTGCCGAATAGCACATCTATATATATCTCCAGAAATTAGAAACCCTTTAACCCTAGCAGACATGGGAATTGGGCTTTGGTTTGGGCCTGGACTGTAGTTGGCCCACACCTAGGAAACACAGCCCAATTCTCTTTATTTCTGCACTATGTCCATGGCAAAACCGTCACTTTCAACCAAAAATCTGTATTGATACAGCTAGAACTGGGTTAAGCTCATAAAACATCAATTGTAGCTCTGCCTCTTAGCTTTCCAACGCCTAAAGAATCAACTTAATCCGATACCTAGAGAAAAAGATATGGTTAAATTACTGCAGTATGTGCAAATTGTCACTTATTGCAAAATTAATTCCTATCTTAATTTTCACCCACAAATAATGAATTTAATATAAACAAAAGGTGAAACTAAGTTCCAAAAGACCCCTAAATTTAATTCTAGGCTCAAAAAGGGTAGATAAATCCATATAAAAATTAAACTCATCAGAGGTTAGTTATGAAACTTAAACTTGTGGTGCTAGTCTCCACTGGCCAACTTTCTGTTACTTTAATATATTTACTATTTCTACACCTCTTATTAAATGTGAGTTCATATAACATGAAAAGCGGAAGATATGGCTCTGTCTATTTTTTGAGGGTCATGTTTGTATCTTGAGGAAGATCCTTCTTCTTCCTTTTTTTTTTTTTTTTTTTTTTGTTTTTTTTTTGTAAGATTTAAGTATTTATGAGAATCCGTGATCACATTGGTTGATGGAGCTTCGGAGCAGATTTTAATATTATCAAAGAAGAACTATTTCTTTTTGGAATGAGAAATATCAGAAATGAAAGGAAGGAATTTTTTGAGATATATTATTGGTAGAAGTTATGCCCTTTCTCAATGTCTCCACAGCTGTCCTCCTAAAACCTCATGATTTGAACTTTTTGTTGATTGTTTTGATTACTGAGGTGTAATCCATTGTATAGCAACAATTTGAAAGGCTTAGTTTCCATTTCATCAGATATTGGTTGTTAGAATTAAGTTTGCTTCTTTAACACTGTTATTCTTTACATTTAAAAGATGCTACTAAAAACTTTCTGAAAAATAAAATTTCATGCCTCTTTCTTTGAGCTAATAATTATTAGATCAAAATGTAGGCTAAGCTTTCTATTTATCCAACAGCTGTTTATTTATTTTCTTGGCGCCCTTGTATTTAGGTATTGGCTGATAATATAAAGTTAACTTGTAGACTTGTAAAAGGTAGTCATTACACTGGTGTTGAGGATGATGCTGTAAACATTGTAAAGCTGGAGGATGAAAGGTAGTAGTTTGTGCTCACTTTTTAATCAATCTCTGACCTCTTCAGTTCTGATGTTTTGTTTCATTGCCTTCAGGGGGTTTTTGGTTGATCTCATGGCAGCTCCTGGGACACTTATACCTGCTGATATTTTCAGTGCAAAGGATACTGCTTTGAAGTCATATAATCCATCACTAAGCAAAATCCTGACTATTCAGTCTTCTCATGATGTTGAAGTTGTTTACCTGAGAGCCAAATTAAATGTTGAAGGCGGTAGCCAAAGTTCTGCAATTAATGACGGTTTTCCCTCGGATAGGGGATCAAGTTCAAAAAAACACAGAATACTTATCTTCATTCTCAGGTCCAAGTGGTGACTCTGCTGTTGGCACTTCCATAATATCTAACAAAATGTCCCCTAATCAGTTAGATCATCTTCCTTCTACTGCAATTGGAGCTTCACTTTATAAAGGGAGTCGTGGGACCAATCTTACGGTCGACAGTGCAAGAATGAACCTCAATGTGGTTCCATAGAGTCAGAGTAGTAGGGATGACTCTAAATATCCTTTTTCAGATCTTAATCCTTTCCAGATAAAAGGGACAGGTAAAACTTACCTGCAGAACAAATCTACTGAAAGCAAAGTTGATGAGCTTCAGAGACAAAAAATGAATGTTGTCACCAGTTGCTCCCCTGTCCCACTATGGAAGAATCGGCCTGCTTACAATGAGATCCCTAAGAAAAAGGAGTACAATTATGTGGATGGTCTATTTCCCAAAATCAATCGCAAGCCTTATGAGTTCCATCAATCAGCCTCAGCTTCAACCAGCTCAACAAAATCTGAAAAGGTCCATGCTCATGGTTTCAAGTTATCGGGTGATTCCAATCTCCCCAATAATGATAATAAGTCTAGGGATCGTTTGTCTGACATGGGACAATCTTTGATGGTTCAGGATGTGAGCACTAACTTTAATGAAGAAAAATCCAATGGATGGCAGGATGTGCAAAATAACACAGTGGATATGGTTAAAGATCAGGAAAGTAATGAAGTGGGTTTACATGATCGCAGAAAGTCCACACTGATAGATGTATGGGGAAAAATCTTAAATTGAAGAATCCTGAAAGTCCTAGGTCACCAGTTGATTGGATAACAGAAAGGGTTGATCAACTCTTTGATGACGTAGATGTGGGTGATTGTGAAATTGCATGGGAAGACTCGCATATTGGTGAAAGAATTGGACTGGATAAGGCATATGATCTATTCTCTATTAGGTTTGGAAATCATGGTTTTGCAGAGATGGATTTTTAGTCCATAAACTGTCAGTTTTTTCAGTCTTTACTACATTATTGCTTTTAAAGGTTAGAGTTATTAGGAGCAGCCATGGATGGTGTTGCACTGCTATGTAGATATACTGTTTTCATTTCTTTAGGAGTTCTAATTCTTTGTGAATTTCGTTTTCTTGTGAATAGGTTCATATGGAGAGGTCTATCATGCTCATTGGAATGACACGGTTAGTTTTAGATACTATTTTTCCGTTGAAATTTGTAAAGTCGATCACTTCTTTCCTTATTTTCTTTTTATTTGTTGTTGTTTTATTTAAAGTTGGAGAACTTGTTCTTGGCTCTTTAAAATGTTCTCTTTAAGATGTTGGTTTGTCATTTTTATGTTGCTTTAGAGACTCAGTGATGGCTTATAATATGACTACATGGATTAACATGAACATCACTGTAGAACCTTTTACATGAACAATACTCCAATAGTTTAGATGGTAATATAGAATTTTTAATAAGTGAATCATAATTGGCAATACCTTTATTTATTTATTTATTTTGGTAGAAAAAGGGGATATATTGATAATTAGCTGGCAATACCTTTATCTATTTGTATCAAGTAGCTTGTAAAAGAGTTGTGTTTTTAAGACACGATTTCTCTACTTGTACCAATTTTGAATCAATAAGATATGAAATGAAAAATGGAGTTTCGAACTTCCTGGCTGGTAATGGGTTTTGAACCACAGGAGGTTGCTGTTAAGAAGTTCCTAGACCAGGATTTCTCGGGTGCTGCTTTGGCTGAATTCAAAAGAGAAGTAAGTAACAAATTAAACTCAGGATTTCTATTTTTAGTTTTGTCTCCAAATGATAGAAACTTGTATTGCAAGATGCTTTTAGTTTTTCTATTGTCTTTCATCTAGAATGCAAGACACCCGGAGAGGGAGACAACCGGAGTTCCCTCTTTTGGTGAGGTGAAAACTCATTTTCTTCCATTGATATTCTGCTGTAAATACCAAAAACAATACAATATAAAACAATACTTTTCTCACCTAATATTTATCTAATACCAGAAAATCCATCAAACATTTAAAGTAATATTATATTCAAAAGATTTGCTGCCATTTTGTGCAGCTCCATGTGGCTGCCACTTTACAACCATTGTATTGCAGCTTTGACACCACAACTCTAACAGAAGTTGTAAATATATAATATGAACGGAAATTGTTTACATTTGTACGTGTTCTTGTGTTTTTTCGTACTACTTTGCTTCTGTAAATGTAAAGATTATTCTGGGGAGCAAAGATATCCTTGTGCATAATCTGGAACCGGGTGGAATGAAGAAGATGCCGGGGGAATGGAATATCCTTATTCTCCACTAAAGTTGGAGAAGATGTGGCAAAATGAGGCAAAGTTAAAAAATTTTGATGGTAAAAATGACACCAATCTGCTTGCTGAATCAAATTAAATCACATATATTGATTATCCGAATTTGAACTCCTCAGGGTTGTATATTCTTCAAAGACTTTGTTCATGTAATTGTTGCACTCAACAGGGTTCAGGCAAGTTAGTATGGAGCCTTTGAAGACTACACTTGTTTGGCTTTGAAGTAGAGCTGGTTTGGTCTCACATAACAGGTCCAAGCATATCTTGGCAAGGCACTACAATCATAATAATAATCGGCTTCTGGTTTGGTCTCACATAACAGGTCCTGCAACAATATATAAGATGTTCATGTATGCTTGAGATATATAAGATGTATAAGATAAGTACATGTAGCCTAATGGTGCTGATCAATTTCAGCCCCCAGTCCAGTAAAGCATAAACATGGGAGATTATTCTTTCCATAAAACCTTTCAGATGAGTAACGTATATTTGTATGTCCTTGTGTTGATCATAGACAAACCCTGCTCCACAAGTTATGGTACATGGGGGCCTGCAATAATAAGGAATGATTTACAGAGCTTTTACGTAACTATATGTGCAAGTATGAAAGAGAAACCCAAAACTTACTGCCTGCGAAACTCTCTCCTTACATGAAGAAATCTTGGGTTTTGATTGGTGGATATCTCCGTGGCCAGTTCAATAGGAAATTATGGGCACCGTCGGCTAAGTCCAAGAGAAACTCTGTCTTGTCATATAAACCCAAAAACTTGGTGACGGTAGAAGGCATATTGGTTTAAAACACAACTCTAACCAGGGATTCCACAAAAAGCAGATTATTGGCTTCTGCAGGAGAAAGTTGAATTCAACTATATATCAAACAATTAAATGTCCTGGGTTTCAATTGAACAGATGGTTGAATTGTACAAACGGAAATATCAAAGTAGGTGAAAATGATAGCAAACCTCTATTTGAATCATATTTATTGAAACAAAGGCGAATTCCTTTCTGCCAACTCTAAGAGGATCCGATTCCACAGCACAGCCGCATTGTATCCTATTGAGGAACCAGCAGGTACTTCAACGGCAAAAGGACAGTTATCCAATTAGACCATACCCAGAGCACCAGAAAAATTAAAGGGCTAATTTTTATACCAACTTACATATACATTCATATAACCTCCATTAATCCCATCCTTGTACAAAGAAATCCCCAATGGCCAATTCTTCAAGCAAACTTGCTGCCATAAGGTTAGAGAGTCCCTCAGGCAACATGGAGAAAACATAGTACCAATGATCAGGTAAACAAATAACAGCCATGACATCCATTAATGATCACATTGGAGAAAAGACAATATTAAATCCTCTAAAATATAATCTAAAACCACTTAATCTTGGATGGAAAAGTGCAAGCAATTAATTAACAATTTATTGGGACCATGACACAGCAACTGATGGATCACTCTATTTTACTAAAAAGAAGTAAATTGCACAAATTTAGAGTGCTGCAGCTAGTGCCAAAACTTTAGTGAGATTTGAATTAGCAACGTTGAATCAGAGTTGAGGCCCCAAAAAAAAAAAAAAAACACTGAATCATGAGAAGAGTTAAGACATGTCTTGCCATATTAAAAACTTGACAAAACAGGATTGGTACTAGCAAGTTTAAATAAGTTATTAAGTTTAAAAAGTTAACTTAGAATGTGAAAATGAAGAGAATAACAAACCATTGTTCAAGCAAATTCTCTTCAATTTTGTTTTGTCATGTAAGTCCCAAAGTAGGTTAATTTTGGAAGAGTGAATGTAGCTCTTCCATCCATTGTCTGATTTCCTTCCTCTTTTTTCTATGCTATTACCCTTTGCAATCATGAATGTGAAGATCCCGCAGCTTTTCAAAGGGAAACAAATTCTTCATTCTTGAACAACTAATAATTACACAAAATTCTTTAATTAGAAAAGGATGTGATGGAATGTTGGTACGTACAGGCAATGCATGAGTAGTTGCTGTTCCTTTCAGTTTCACATGATCACACATGAATCACAGTGACTGGTAATTATAAAGGAATTAGCATCCAATTAAGAGAGATAGACATCATATGGAATTTGTCAAAGTAAAATCTACAAACACTGAAATCCTAAAAATTTACCAGGGTAGAATAGGAAGGTAGAGGCAGTTGGTACAGAAGAAAGCATAATCTAAAAGCAAGAGGAAAGACAGTGAAGGGCTGCAGAAGTGTGCTTTGGCAGGGAACTTAAGATGCTCAAGTTAGCCACAGAAGTTTTTAACAAAATCAATAGATCAAATATGAGAGAAATTCATACCTTTGGTCTGTTATGGCCTATGGATAGGTTGAATGGCTACAAGAGTTGAACAATAAGCCAACTATACCAACTCAAATATATCCAATTCACATAAACTCCATTAAGTCAGATGCTGAGCATTAGGGCTCAGCTTCAGAGAAGCAATATATAAGAGCCCTGCAACATGGTTCAATAGGTTGTGTGATACAGAGAAAACATAGTAATGACATTTGGATAAACAAATAAGAACCATAATATGAATTGAGGAGCACTTTGGTGAGAAGATAGTATCAAATCCTTTAAAACCAGTTAATATTTGGATGAGAAAAATAGAATCCACTAATTACCGGTGTAGAGGCAGTTGGAGGCAAGAAAGCGCATTAAATCAATCTAAATTCTGCTTACTATTTTGGACTTGAAATAATTGTTGATCTCCAAATATGGGTGTGTTGGCTGTAGAAATCTAAAGTTAAGTTACAGAGACTATCACGTTAGCCACAAAAGAGTTTAACTAAATTGATAGATCAAATAAATATGAGAGAAATTCATATAATTGTATAAATACATACCTTGGGTCTGCTGTGGCCTACATATGTGTGTGTGTGTGTGGGTTCAATTGCCACAAGAGTTGAATAATAATGTGATTAAAGAAATTAAGATGTTGAGGTTGATATAGTTAACAGTCACAAAACATAAATCATGAAATTTCTCAAATCTATTTTATTGCTTATTACAACACAAAATAAAATAAATATCACTTAAACAAGCATTAATTAAACAAAGTTTATCCATAGTACTAAACAAAGTTTATCCATAGTACAAAACAACAAATTACAACAGAGATTTCATTGGATTGAAGTGAGTGTGAGTCCCATTTTTTTCCTGTTTTCCTTAGCTGTATATGTTGCTGAGTTGAAGAAATAGGTTTGAGATGGTAAGAGACGTAGCCTGCACCAACATGTATGGAGAAATTACTTAATTCTAAGGATGCAAATATTAGTCAGCCAAAGAAAAAAAAAAAGGAAAAAAGAAAAATGTTCAAGAAAAATATAAACATATATACATGGACTGGGCATTAGAAAGTGAACAAAGATTGACCAGATTGATATTCAATGGATGACTCAGGAAATCCATTCACGAGCTTGCTCCCTAAGAGTGAATAATTCAAAATGGAATTAGCATCCAATTAAGGGAGATGGACATCTCATCATAAGCAAATCAACAGACATATATACCTGAGCTGAGCTGCGCATTAGAAACTAGTCAATTGATAATTGAAACTCGTAGAGGCAGAAGGAAACGCTAAACAGACCTATAATTAATAAGTACCCAAGCGTTGCCGCTGTGAATAATCAAAAAAGGAATTAGCGAGATAGACATCTTATTAGCAAATCAGTCAAGATTAGATAATTGAGCAAATCAACGGAGATTAACACTTGGATTCATTCAGAAACAAGAGATAGAAACAGTTATTTATGAAATACCAGAGAGAAGAGATAATGGAATGCAAGTGATAGAAAAAGGGAGACTAATGAGACTTACCCGAACTCATTACATCTGAGGAAAGGTAGAAGGACAATCTTATCGTCAGGATTCTCCCACTCCAACGATTCCCACCATTCATTTGGATTGTCAATATAGATAGATTTGACAGCAGGAAGAGATGGTTGCACGTTTTCCCTTCCAAGACAAAGGGGAATCCTCTTTACCTTCACACAGGTCGATATTCTGATGCTATTGAGAGATTCACAAACCATTACTCCTCTTTCGGGGCAGATTCTCTTCAATTTTGATAGGCAATGCAACTCCAATATCCTTAATTTTGGAAGAGTGATCAATATTGGAGTAGTTGTTCGATTTCCTTCCTCTTCTTTTTCCCACCCTATTATTTCCTCCATCCCCCAACAATGTTTCACCTCAATTAGCTCCAAGTTTTGGAGGCCCTGACCCTGCAGCAGCTCACATGGAAAAAGCTTCTTCAATTTTAAACAATTGCAAACCCTCAGCTGTTTAAGATTGGAAAAGATGTGAAGGGATATTGTCGGTGCAAGCAATGCTCTTGTTTTTTTCACTTTCACAACATCCCGCAGGCTAGCCAAACCGTCAAGAGTTAGTACTTCAAGGTTATTCATTACTGTCAAGGAATTAGATGAAGATGACGACAAAAAGACCACACACACTATCCCTTGGCAGTATTTCAAAGCACATGTTCGCAATTGAGTAAAATCTCTCTGAAAAATAGAAATATCACTGGCCGTTTTGCAGCTTTGAATCGTCAAATCCTTAAGGTCATCTGGAAGGACAAACTCATCTCCTTCTCCCATCTGGCATCCGATTAAAATTACCTGTTTAGGAAGATCATTATTGTTGAACTTCCAAAAATACCCCTCCATGTTGATTGCGGTTCCCACATTAAGAGAGTAATGACTGGGTCTTCCAAAATGGTTCAACTCGCTAACAAAACTGCTGTAGTCTTTCAGCCAATCAAATCTACATTCAAACCATTCCAGCATCTTCAATCTTGCTACTTCTTCTCCTCTTATTTCAGTTGAAAAAATCCGACGTTTAAGTAGGAATTGGAGACGGAAGAGCTTACTGATTTTTCCCCCTGGTAGCATCCTCAGGTTGGGACAAGATAAATCAAGATATTCTAGATTTTTTAACATTTCAATGCCTTCAGGAGCCTCACGAAGGCCTGCTCCATCCAAATCCAACTTCTTCAATGCTTTAAGCTTTGACAAGGAAGGCATGCGTTCTAAACGCTCACATCCACAGAGGATCAGTGCAGTGAGATATTCCAAGTTACATATGGAATTAGGTAGAACCTCAATGCCTGTTCTAGAAAGATCAAGAAACTTCAACAGGGGCATGTTAGCAAAAAAACACTCTGAAATTTGTCTCAATCCGTAATTACCCTCCAAAATCAAGGTTGAGAGCATCAAGCATTTGGGGGACATATTTGGAGGGATATATGAAATTACATTTTCCATGAGAGAGACCTTGTCTAGATCTTCATTCCATTCATCCTCATCCGGTATCTTTGTCAATCTCATTCCAGCTTTTACCATAAACATACCAGGACCCGTGCTCTTGATGCACAATGCCATGTCCCTTACAACATCATGCATCTTAACACGCACCTTTCCAAAGGCTTCCTCTAACAAACAACAGTTTAAAAGCCTATTTAAAATAGCATTTCCTTTATCATGCATTTCTCTTCTGCTTCCTAATTTTTCAACAATTCCCTCACAAATCCAGGCTTCAATTAGGTCTTGTCTGCTGATCATCCAATCTTCCGGATGCAATGAGCAATATAAGAAACATTTTTGGATGCTTGAATTTGGTAGACGATCATAACTGAACTTCAAACGTTTAAATATCTCATCTTCTAAATCTTTCTCTGTGTCCACAACACATTGACGCAATTCACGTAATGCATTTCTCCACTCAAAAATATCTTCTACTCCTCTCATGCTCCCCGCAATGACAACAATGGCCAATGGCAAACCAGCGCATTCAGCCACCATAAGCTTCAAAATCTCTTCCAAATTGGGAATTCGTAGAACATCTTGCCCAACCTTATCTAAAAACAACTTCAAAGACTCTTGCTCTGGTAAAGGTGGTACTTTAACTACCTGACATCTCAAGTAGTTGCATACATCAATCGATCTGCTAGTAATAACAATTTTACACCCATTTTCCATTGTTGGTTCAGGGATTCCAATTCTTTGAAGAGTAAATTTATCCCACACATCATCTAAGATCAGTGCTTATTTAACTTTTTTCATAGCCTCCAGTCTTGATGCCCGGCTCAATTCATCCCACCTCAATTCATCCCACGAATTTGAACGATTTTTCTTCATTGCCCTAGCAATGTCATCTTGCAATCTGAAAACATTGAGAGGATGTGATACTGTAACCCAGACAACCTTCTCAAACTTGCTAGCCTCATTCAATAATTCATTATTGATGTGTTTCATAACAGTGGTTTTACCAACTCCACCAATTCCACAAACTCCAATAATTCCCACCTCGTGACCCATTAAGTATTCCCAAATTTTTTCCTTCACATTAACCTCACCCACCATATTCTCTGTTGGCAAAGTGATTCCAATTGTTGGAGACCTTTCAATTACAAGACCTTCAGGGAAACTACCTCGATCGTAAATTTCCCTCACATCTTGAATCTTTTGACGAACACGTCTCCCAAGGTTACCACGTGACAAATATGAAACATTCTGCACCTGTTCTTCAATATCTGGCATTTCAATTTCAATGACCTTCCTTGCATCTTCAAGCCATCCCTCCACTTCTTCTTTAACTTGTTTTTCCAAGTCATCCACTGTTAGTAGTTCTGCTACTCTATCATTTATTCTGCGTTTTAGATCTGCCACTCTTTTTTTGAGATCATCCACATCATTTTGGAAGTTTCTGTGGCAATCTACATGTTCGCCTACTACACTTCCAAGAACTGGCCCTATAATGGACTCCATGAATGAAATTTCTAAAATGAAAAAAAGAAAAAAAGAAAAAAAAAGCGTATTATTAAAACGTTCGTTTGGTAATGTATACTGACGATGACCAGAGAAAAGGTGGTGTATTACAAGCAAGGGCAAAAAAGGAGAAGAAAAAAAGAGACAAACTCTCTATTTATATTTTGTATATTAATTTTTCATAATTAATATCTTCACAAATTTTTACTTTCAACATTTTTTATAAATTAAAATTTTTAAAAAATCTAACAATAAAATCCCTTATTTACACTCTGACTTTATTGATAATTTAAGAATTTTTTGTAGATTTTAAATTATAGAATGTATTGACTAAAAGGAAAAGTAGTCAATATTGTACCGATATACGTATTGGTATCCATGCCAGTTTTACTCCTGAAATGATATGTATTGGATATCGAACTATTTTGGATTTATCGATATAAATATATATTTTTATAAATTAAATAACAAATATCAAATAGTTGAGGGATGCAAATTATGTAAAATTTTAAAGTTGAAAGGCTAAAGTTGGCATTTAACCTTTGCTAATTTGTGTTTCAAAAAAATCTTCCTTCCCCCTGCTATGCTAGTTGCCGGAGCTGAGCTGAGAAACTGTTCTCGGATTTTTTTTCTTTTATGGTTTGTGAAAATTGTTTCTTTCCTTCCCTTGTTTTCTTTATTTATCTTTTTCTTTCTTTCTTTCATTTTTTTTTGAAAAGATTTCTCCTAAATTTGAAATTGCAATTGCGGGGTAATTAAAATTAAGAAGTCCTTAGCTCAAATCGACACTAGGTAATTTTTTTTTTTTTTTTAATTTGTCATAGTGTGTAATGGTCAAAATTTCGGTGTAAAATTTTAATGTATCAGTCGGTACACCGAAATTTTAGTTGGTATATCAGATTTTGATTGAATCACTCGAATTTTGACCGAAACAGATTTTCATATTATACTGTTTCAATCAATACAAAAATTGATATGTATTGGTTAGTATCGGTACGAAATTGGTAACTTTGCTAAAAGGTATTAATTGTAAAAAAAATAATGTGCAAAGTATAAATAAGAGATTTGATAAAAATAAAGGAAAAAATAAATAAGTATATATATTTTTTATTTTATTCTCTAAAGTTTTACAATATTAAATTATCTAGTCTTGCAATTGGTTTTTTTTTTTCTAAAAAAAAATACTAACAGTAAATTTACAAGAAGTTTCTAAGGGGTTTTTTTATGCATTAAAAGAAAGATTTTTCTAACATGTGCCTTAAGGGTATGACACAGGTTAAGGGTGCATTAAATATATGTTTTTGTCATAAATATATATAAAAAATGTTAAAGTTGATATTAATTTTAGTATCAAGTGAATTTAATTGAATAGTTAATAAATTAAAAGTTAATTTTTATTTTTTCAACATAAATTTGTGATAAAAAAAGTATATTTAATACATTTTTAACTTTATCCTTAAGATACAGGCTAGATGAACCCTTAAAAGAAAGTGCAAAACCCTATTAAAACTCTTATTTCATTCATAAATAACTATTACTTAAAATTTATATCAATTAATTCTTTAAAGGCGATAAATATTTTTTATATTTTAATTTTATTGTTATTTAGTATTTATTAATTTAATTATTTTTTTACTTTAACCATAATACTAGTCTCTAAAATAGCAATAAATTTGAC